GCCCTCCTTGATCCTGACTTGGTCGTACACTGGCAACATCTGGCTTCGTATCTCATATTTAAAGGCAAAAAGGTATTTATATTCCCTCTCTCTCTCTCTCTCTCTCTCTCTCTCTCTCTCTCCTTCTCTCTCCCTCTCTATTCTCCCTCTGCCTCTTTTCTCTACATTCAATAACATGTCTTGGGAATAGTTTCAGGACTGTGATAGAGCAGCACACAAAATCACTTGACGGATGTTCAGTTTGCCCTGCATTGAACTGCTGTAGACACTTTGAATCCTTTTGGAGCTATAATACATGTATGATACGCATCAGAACTTCCACACAGCCTTGCTAGGCCTTCATTATCTCTCGTTTTCCCTCTTCACACAGTTTTGCTATCACTTCATATTTAGGTCCTGAACTCAGCATTCAGTCCAGTGAATGGAAAAATAAAGCAGCGACTCTTGATTCATAAAGTGCCCGCGATTCTATCAAACATCGAATGAAAACAAGCAAGCATCTCTGTATAACACTTGGGATCTGTCCAAAAGTACATTTCACCCTCAAATGCCTGATAAAACAGTGAAACTGCAGGCGCTTGCACCAGTTCCTCGGCAGCCTGGCAACTCTGAGGCTGCCCAGTGTCACAGGACAGTGGGAAGGCCACACCTGCCATTCGTGGGGTCTTTAGCTGGAAAAATGGAGCACCGTAAATGCTTACGAGGACTTAACTGCCCCAGTCCCTTGTAAGTTTGAAAAGAACGAAAAGTAAAAGGAGGTTGTTGACATTAAGGCCTCACCAGACATTGTCAGAATCAAGATGATGCCCTCTTCCCGGCAGTTTTCTTTGGCTCAGGCCTGACTGTCCCTAGCCCACTCTAAAGAGCCCTGACAAAGCACCTCCTTTTCAACATCCTTGCCTTCTGGAAACCTTAGTGAAAAGAAGCTAAGCAAACACTCTGACAAAGCCCAAACCTGAACTTAGTTACAAAATGGTATTTGGCCAAAATTCTACTAAGCCCTGGCTGTAGCAGCAGTGTGTGACGTGGAATAGCCACAGCTTGAAAAGGAGGTGGCCAGCCCTCCCAGAGCCATGGGCTTGTGTTCCAAGGCAGTGCTCTCATCCTTCCACACGCTGTGCTCGCTTGTGACAGGATTCTTACACTTTTTGAAAAACAAAAACAAAACTTACATTTGTTTGCAGGCTTATCAGATGCACAAAATGCATTGTTCATGGATTTTCCTGTCACTATTCGGGTAGCACAGTGAGTTACATGGCTCCAAAGCACGGAATCAATGGGAGGTAACAATCAAAAAAGAACAGTATGTTTTCTTCCATCCCTGTAAATCAGAGCTGTGAATGCAAACAATGTGCAGAATGAACATGAGCAATTCCATGATTTTATAGAAAACTTAAAAAGGGGGAAGATGGCAGCTCACAGAATAAGAATTTAACCAACCTGTGCTCTAGAAGGAAAATTTTTTAAGTAAGGTATTTCTGCATCTTATCTGAAATAGATATCTTTAGGGCAGGAATCATCAGAAACTTAACAGAGTAGTGTGGGACTTGGTTTTATTGTCTTGCATCAGTGAGCATTCCTCAAAAGCAGAAAGCGTCACTAATGGAATTACATGTTTTCATGCTGTAATTATGTTTGATTTTTTTCCTGATATTTCTGTAGAATTTTTTTGTTCCTAGGTTCATGACTAGGCAGAATATTTCCAAGTTTTCTATGTCCTCTGCCTATCCAGTGCCCATCTCCCCCCCCAAAAAAGAAAAAAAGCTAGCAATAAGAATTTTTAACACAAAAAGAAAAAAATGTATAATTTCTTAAAACTTGTATGCAAATTTCTGAGTTCCTTTCAAAAACAAAAGAAAATAAGAATTGAATACTTGAAAGCTGGGGATGTAACTCAGTGATAGAGCGCTTGCCTAACTGAATTCAATCCCTAGTACTGAACAAAAGTAAAAGAAACAGGACAAGGGGACTTGAGTTTTAGAATTCTTTGAGACAGAAAAGGACCGCTTTATGTTTCTCCATTTTTGAATGACATTTATTGGGTAAAACAGTTTATTTGATCTGTGGCTATGTTCAAATGGTCCTGTAGCTGAAGACGAGACAAAAGAATCTAGCTGTTGAATCAAGCTGGCTTAAGAACACAGTACCAGGGCCCCATTGAGCATGTGACCAGTCTACTTCCATTTTTGATAAGTGAGACATATTAACTATAAAACATGCCGCAAAAATCCCTGCTGAGGAGATGTAAACAATTATAAAAGCACCACTGCCTTCTCTCCCACACCAAATCTTAGCTTCATCCCGTACACCTCAAAGTCCCATGAGCACTGAATTTCTACTTTTTAGCATGCAATTCCTGTTTTTTAGGTTTTACAGATGTAGAGTAAGTGTGTGACAGTTCAAATCTATATATATATACTCTAGAGCAGTGGTGGAGAAGTTTTTAGAGACAAATGCCCAAGCTACAGACCCAAACCCACTTACTTATCACCAAATGTCGACACTGCAATTAAACCTGAATACTGAGGCTTTAGTTTAGGAAAAAACAACTCATACATCAATATTTTGTCTTAAAAAAAAAAAAAAGCACACATGCCGTGAGTTCGACACCACTGCTGTAGCTGTTCCCTTCAAAGCATTATGTTAGGAAATACAAGAATAAAATGGGTCGTTGCAGTGTAGATGTGGGGTAGGGAGGGGCTTCTCCTTGCAATTGGAATTAAGATGTGGGTGTAGATGAATATCTCTTGGGCCTGTTCTTATCATAAAACTGAAGCAAGTTAGCATTACATTTTCCCAAGTTTAAATATATTTCTTGAAATGGCACTTGTTAGAATGTTGAAAAGTTTCATTTCTCTCCTCTCAAATCTCTACAGTCTGGCTCCCGGCCCAGCTACTCCACCCAAATCGCCCTCTGATGTCTTTCAAACTAGCTTCTCAGCCAAAACCAATAGCATCCTTCTAGACTTGTCAGCCTTATTCAAAACCATATTTTTCTCCCTGCATATGGTCTCAAGTTCTAAGGATTTGTCCTTTCCAGGTTTTCTGTGGGCTGTGTCTTCAGAGTCGCAGTGGTTGCCCTTCTCCTTAAGCTGTCACTCAGCACAGTTTTGTGTGTGAATTGCTTCGCCATCCCTGTCTTTAAACTCGCTTCACTTTTCAAAATCTCACCTCTCGCCATGCCAGGCTTTCAGCTGTTGTTGATCACGGTAAAGTAAAAACTCTGGTGGTGATTCTCAACTTTTTGCAGCTGTAGAAGATCTTTGTTTCTGGACTAAAATTGAGTCATTTTTAACTGATCTCTAACCCTTTTACGTTCTAAAAGTATATCTTTGCCTTCATGATATTTAGCGGATGGATTATCTCTTAGTTATCCTTCAGCTTTGCCTTTTCAACCCTAGAGAAATACAGTTTAGACCAAACTATACCCATAGTAAGATAGATACTCCTGTCGATTAAAATGTAGTTTGTAATTAGCAGTGGTTGTACCTTCTTTTACAGTCTTTTTGTCATCCCACCTTAGTGTAATATTCTCTTCTCAAATCCTACAGACATCCACTGACTTATTTTTCTTAAAAAATTCTCATCATCATTTTGAAAATGAAATATTTCCTCTTTTTAACAAATTTGTCCCATTCATTAGTACTTCACCTGAATACCTTACTCCAAAAGATTGCCCATGGAGTATATTTAAAATGTGTTATATGAACTAGCTGATTTACTTCTTCTCAGGAGCGCACAGGATTTGATGAAAATATATCCTCAGTTATCTCTGCTTGTGTATCCCATAAGTTCAAAGATATACCTGCCTGTGCCTCAACCTTTCTTTCCCCTCTTCTCCCAAAATTCTGTACTACTAAGGCTTAGATTATTTTTTTAATGCATTTTAAATTTGTACAGTACGTAATGATGATATCTAACATGGGGAGTCTGTACATGTACATAACACAACTGTATTCTTTTTTTCCCCATTCCCGTCCTATCCCTCCCTATTCCCTCCAAATCTTGATCCCCTTTCCATTTGAAAAAGCTCTATTTCCATTTTGTCCTTCAATTTTTTTTTTTTTTTTGTACTGGGTATCGAACTTGGGCCTTCTCACTTAGAGAGCGAGGCAGTGGAACCATTGAGCCGAATCCCTGGTTCTTCCATTCTTTTTTTAATCCTCCCATTTCTTGTCCCCTTTCCCATTTGGAAAAAATCTCCCCACTTCCTATTACTGTCGTTTATTTTGCGTTTTATTTATATTTTGAGTTTCTTGTATAAGAGAGACCAGACAAGATTTAAACTTGTGCGTCTGGTTTATTTCACTTAACATTATGTTCTCTAGATGCATCCATTTACCTACAAATGCCTCAGGTTTATCCTTCTTTCTTGCAGACCATTACTCCATTGTGTGTAAATATCCTATTTGCTTTATCATGTGTTGATGGATATATAGGCTCTTTCCAAGATTTGGCAATTATAAATTTGTGTTGCTATAATTATGAGTATGCATGAATCACTGTAATATGTCACTCTTTTGGAAATGCACTTTTCTGGATAATGGAACTCTCTTTATAATACATATATTTTAAAGCTTTAAATTCATAAAGTATATATTTTGGAGATACTTCATGTATTTCAATATATGTGTATAATATGCAATGATCAAATTGATATTTAGCATATCCACTTTCTCAAATATTCATCATTTTTTTCTGTTGGAGACATTTAAAATAATTCCTTGTAGGTATTTTGTAATATGCAATAAATTATTAACTGTAGTCATCCTACTGTAATAGTTTACTAAACCCTGGAACTTTTTCCTCCTATGTATTTTTATGCAAATATTAACTTCTTTTTATTCCCTCTCTTTCTAAAAATTTGTTGAATTTTCAGTTCAACTCCATGAAGGATCAACTTCCCTACACCTTACAACAATATTTACCTGGGATATTTTTAATACTAGTAATTGTGGTGATGAGATCTTGGCCTCATAATGTGTACATTTTCTTTCCAGGATCCCCCCATGGCTGTAACCCTAGGACTCCGAATGGAGGAAATGATTTTCAATCTTGCTGATACACATTTGTTTTTTAATGATTTAGAGGTAAGAATCTTAAAAAGTAAGAATAGTTGTGTCCAACATAAAACACCTACATGGTTCCATGTATACAAATATAAAGAGAAAGCACAGCTGTTTTCATGAATCATATGTGTGTACTGGTACAGATTAAGAAAAACTTATATTTAAAAAAGAATAAATTTATCTCAGAAGAGGAGATGGTTGGCTTTACTGTCCAGTATGAGAGAGACACTCCTATGTTCTGGACCACCCAAGGGGGTGGACTATCACCCCCTTGGAACCTTGGGAATCAGCATTTCCTGGTTTCCAGCAGGGATACTTTTTATGCTACTCACTAGACAGTTTTCACAGGTACTCTTCTTGACAATAATGTGGGTTGTGGAATTTTGAAGATAGTCAGAAACTTATCTTTGGGCAATCATATCCTTCCTCGTGTCTTCTCTTACATAAAACAATGCTAGAGCTATTTATATAGCATTTCTGATGAGTTTTAAAAATTTACTTTCTTTTTTCTCAATCCTATTTCTTTGCCGTTTCTAATCTTAGCAGATAATGCAAACAAGAGGAGGAGAAAGTAAATACAGCAAAATGAAAAAGCACAAGACAAGTTTGCCTAGGAATAACTATTTATGCACCATACTAAGGAATATAATCTGTGTGCTAATGACTTTGACATCCAGACCATAGAATCTGAAATAGCTAAGTCATTTGGGCACAGGACAGAAATACTTCTTTGAAAACTGTACCTATGATGAAATAGACATTTCTCTTTCCTTTTAAAAATGACATGTTTAACTATCTCATAGTTTCTCATTTAGATAAAAGTGTATACCTTTAATCACATTATTAATGAATTGGACAATTATTACTACTGATCCACAACTTTTTCTAGACATTTTATACTGGAGTTTCCATTAATTACTTAATAATTTTCAAAATAAGTATATCTCATTATGTTTGTGAGGTGGAAGCTTCAGGACCCCAGAATAAAAATCATATCCAAAATTACCTGCTACCTGTGTGGTAGAACTGGGATTTTGAAGGAGATTTGTCATCAGAGCACATAGTTCTGCTGCCATACTATTCTGAAAGTAAGACTGTCAGACAGAAAAAAACTGTCACATTTTAGTGACTGACTTAAATTAGTTTTTCAAATTGACAAGGTCTTAAATCCAACTTTACACTTGAGACATGAGACTAAAAGTAAATGATTCAGTGTGACCCCTAAATGTATTTTCTGAAAATCACCTGTGTTGTAATAGTTTGTTGTTTTTCTCTGCAGTGAGTCAGTGCTTTTACTGGAAAATAAAATGCCTATTTAAAGAGTTGGTTTTTTTTTAATTTAATGAAGGGTATGGAAAGTCAATATTCCTAAGCAGGTCTTCCAGTTTTAGATAAGAAATAATAATCGCCTGGGCCAGGGATTTAGCTCAGTGGTTCCGCCACCTGCCTCATAACCATAAGAACCCGAGTTCGATCCCTGGTACCAATAATAATAATAATAATAATAATCACCTAAAATTTGATTTCATTAAATTTACTAGTTGTTACCATCCGATGTACAGAATGCCTTTAGATACACTAGTTAATAGAAACACATTTGAACCTTTTGAAACTTGAAAGCTTTATATACAATAATAAAGTCTTAAGTTCATTTTCCGGTTATTAATATGGATGAGTCTCAATCTACAGAAAATTCTAAGTTGGTTACTCCTTTCAGAGCTTTAAAAGGACGTAAGAAATTTTATATGTGATTTTATCCAAGTTTGATAGGGTTCACCTAATTTGCTTAATTATTTTTTTTACTGGAAATACAAAGAATGAATGAACTTTTATTTTTTATTGGCACATTAGAAAACCAGACATAATAAATTTATTATTTACCGTTTAGCATAACATTAAAATGGCGGGGGAGAAAATAGCATGTGATGTATTTATAACAGTGATCATCTGCATTGCTTTAGGACTTTTTATTTTGAATTAGATGTTATGTTAAAGGCATTTTTAAAATACATGGCAGGGTTTCTGGTAACCGGAAAAATATTAGTATTGACTCTTCACTTTTCGGGTTGTGTTTTAAAAATATGATAAAAGTGTTGTTTGACTTAAACCCTACAGCCTAGCTATTCAACATTTCTACACCTGATCAATAACATAGTGGAGTCTGCACATAGACTGGTTGAATAGTCGCTATTTATGCACACACACACACACACACACACACACACACACAGGATGAAATGCAGAAACTAAAAAGTCTCAGTGCTAAGCTAATGAAATGTATGACCCATCAGTGGAGTTGCACACATACCCCCACCCAGCATGTGTGTAAAAGGAGAGCTGGAAAGGCAACTTTAATGCTCTCGCAACCCCATTCCAAAGGCTCCACAACCGAACTAAGTTACTCTGCTTCTGCCGAGGAAAGAATTCCTCAAGAGAGTAACTCCACTGTTGGCCTATTGTGGGTTCCCCCACTTATATATTTAATCGCGTGGGATCTTTTCTATAACCTAAAAATCTAATTTGAGACTCCAGTCCTGCAACATATGCAGCAGCAGCTGCTCCTCTCATAATTCCTTAAAAAGACACAAATTTAAATCCTAATAGGCCTTTCAGGACATCCTGCCCCACTGCAAAGGAGGCAAATGCTTACTCTTCCCCCCTAGGAAGAGAGCCCTCTCTGTTTATATAAAGTGTTATTTCAGTTAGAATAACTTCCGGAAAAGAAAGCACCAGGGAGTTTGGGATCACAAAAGTCAGAGAAAACTGCTGTGGATAACTGCAGAATATCGGCGACAACTCTATGGTCACTTTAGGAGACAAAACTACAGCATTTCAGATTAGCACCAGAATTATTCCAAATGGTGAGGTCTTCCACTAAAGTTTGTTAAAAACCAAAGTGCTATAACACTTTTTAGGTATTTCAGGATTGAGTCAGAATGACTCTTGATTAGTTCCTCCAAGTGAAAACTAATTGAAGAACAATTGTTTAGATATTCCTAAAAATGTAAGTAAATGAAATTCAAGTTCTTTCACTGGACTGTAATCCTCGGGCAAACATCCAGAGTCAACAGGCAGAGTTAACTAGGCATAAATTTAAGGAGAGGTTAGATTTGGAAAAACCTCAAACATAACTTTAAATATAGAATGCATGGTCCAATAAGTTTGATATACTGTTGTCCTCCGGAGTAAAAAATACATTTTTTGGTTAACCTATGTATAAATTAATCATGAGAATTAATACTTGAAATGTCAGAAAAATTTCTTTAAAAATTAGGATGGAGTATTAAATACAGAATTCACTTCTGACTACCAGGGTAATTCACAAGGCTCCTTGGCCATCTAGTATATTATTTGATGTCACACAACACTGCATTAGAAAATTTAAGCGATTGTTGCAATCCTGTCAAGAATTCTAATTCACCAGTCTTCTGCCATTTGCTTAAAGAAGAATTCTTGGACAATTAGTTATTCTTTGCCAGATTATTTCTTAAAAGGGAGTAGATCCTGGTGAATGAAATACCGCCCTCAAGGAGCTTCTAATTGGATGATGTATTCTGGATTGCTCCCTATGAATGTAGGTGGAGATTGATTCAAAACTTACTAAACCCATAATTTATGTCAACCTTATGATTTTTTTTTTTTTGTATTGGGAATTGAACTCGGTCCTTACACTTGCAAGTCAGGCAGCAGCACCACTGAGCTAAACCCCCTGCCCCTATGTCAACCTTGTGAACACTTCAGAGTAGTGTTCCTGGGTTTTGGGGTTGCACGTCAAAAGGTACTGAGTAGGCTGTCCCTGAGTTTTGTATTTTAAAGGAAACAGAGTCAACTGCAACATGATTAACATGCGCTGTATAGAAAGCTGGAAACTAGATATTACATGTGTGGCTACTGACATTTCCAAGTTGTGTAATGAAATGAATAATAACTGAAAAGCCTTTATTTAGTATGGCATGTTTCAAATTTAACAGATTTTTAAAAACCTTCTTTAAAATGATTAACACTATGTATAGTCAGAATCAGTGACTATTATTTAAATAATTTGAGAGAGCTTAAAGAGGCCCCAAGGCCAAGCCGTACTTCTTCTGAGGTTATTTATTTATGCATGTTTTATAAATTATAATAATTTATTTTTAATTACAGGCTGAGGGCTAGGTATTTTAAATGCCCTAGTCAGTTACCACTATCAAATCGTGTAATGTTTCACTGGGACTTTGCAGATTATTTGAAGGTATAACAGGACTCTGGTGAGCAAAGAAAAATTGAGTCCTTATCCAGAAGTTCTCGTTTGCTCTGAGCTCACCTAACATAACATCAGGTCCGTTGCGTGGCTCTACTGACCCAAAGTTTACTTCCCTTGGACTTTGCAGCAGTTTTGAAAGGGTGTATCTTCATTATTCCCCTTTTATTTCTAAATGCTATTTGCTTTTAAAATATTAAAAGCCTGAACAAAGAAAAATGTTAGCTCCTATGGTTATTGCCTTTTTCCATGTCAAAACCCAAGACATTTAGAATAATGTCCTTCCTCTTTCAAAAAAAGCCAGAAGGCACAGAAATCTCACAGAACAACATACTCTGTGGTTAAACTCTTCTAATACTGCTCAGCAATGAGTAAATAATTGTATCCACTTGAAGACCGAACACATTTTTTTGTATATTCAAATTGGTATTGCTTAATATGCGTGACAGGAATGGTTAGAATAAACCCACATGATTGACTGCAAAGTTTCAAAAGAGAACTTTTCATCACTAATTTTATATTGGAATATTTTTATTTTTTAAAGATTAAAATTACTTTTAAATTGCTGTACAGAAACCCACGGGCCATATTTTCAGATCTCTTTGAGGTACATCACCCTGTTGGATTTCCATTCTAGAGAGTGGCACTGGTGCCATTTCACTGGAGCCCGCAGACTTCCCCAAGGCGGACTGGGACTGTTAGAACAGCAGAGGCAAATGGAATCCTTAGCCAGGAGCTCCCATTTGCTCTGAGCACACTTAAAATCAGGTGGACTCCGCGGGTGCGCTGACCTACAGCAGACATGGGGTGGTGGAATGGATGGACAAATGCTGCCATCTTCTGGCACAAGTCTGATTTATTGGCCTGCACAAAACCTTACAAGGGGCCAAGCGTGGTTTGAGTCACATTTCCCCTGTTTTCAACAGGAGTGCGATCAAGTTCATATAGATGATGTGTCCTCTGACGATAACGGGCAGGACTTGAGGTAAGCCATGCCTTTCAGTATGCTGTTTCCTACATTCATTCAGCTATGGAGTTTTGCACCTGTAACTATTTCTTTTATTTCTTTTTAATGTATTTTGGGTGTTGCAGTACCTACAGTTTTGCAACTGATGGCTTCCATGCAGCTGCAAGTAGTGCAAACCTTTGTTTGCCAACAGGTGTAAGAGGAGGAGTGGACTGGATGAGGAAGTTGGCTTTTCGTTACAGAAGAGTAAAAGAGTTATATAACACCTACAAGAACAATGTCGGAGGTACGTGCAGCTCAGGTCATCAAATGGAGGCATCCTGGGTATAGGCAGGATTCAAGCTGCAGTTTCACACTAGAGATTATCCTGCTGTAGAAAGGTTCAGCAAAAGCTCGTATCAAATAACATTGGGCGGGAATTTTTAGTTTCTTAAAAACTGTTGGGAAAAACTTAACTGCAGAAGAAAACACGCAGGCCTGTCAGAGGAATTAGACATTGTTTGTGAGACTTCGTGCACAGATATTCAAGTTGTACAGCAAGGAATTGGATTAATTTCATGAACCGGTGGTGGTGACTTCAGTGTGAAAACCAGACAGGGGACCAGACAGAGGTAGTGGAAAGCAAACCTTTCTAAAGGCCAAGGCCCTAGTCATTGAAATGGCCCTGGGCAATCACTACCTGTCCGTAACCCTGTCATCATAAATACAGTGATTTATGTCACTACACAGTCATTCAACAAGTCTAAATTATCTTTTTTAAAAAATTGCATGTTATCTGACAGTATATCTTTACCACATACAAATGCTACTAAAAAAACTTTAAAATTAGTCTTTCTAGAAAACTGAAAATATTTATTATTCATATATGTCGTTATTTCTTTGTTGCAGGGTATTATTTAAATTATTTTCAACTTAACAATGTTGCTAATAGTCTCGTATCTTAAAAAATGTATGCAACCATGTAAGAGTTCATCTTCTCTCATACATCAGCAGCTCTATATGAGATGAGAAAGATGGCGTTTGCAGAAAGTGTAAATTTTAACATTAAAAACAATCTACATGTCTATGTGCACCCAGTATTCTCAGACACATTTCAAGTAAGAAACCTTTCTTTGGGATGGATGTCTGTCATCTTGTTTCATCATGAAAACAAAAGCGGCATCTTTTAAAATTAGAAAGTAGGATGCCTACATCTTTTTTTTTTTCCTCATTGAGTTTATTGGTACATTTTAGGCATACAGTACAGTTACATTCATTATTGGGATCTTGAACCTTTCCAGGACAGGTCTCAGTTCTCATTTTCTCCCCTTGTCCCTGCCCTCCCTTCACCCCCTCCTCCCCTCCCCATTTACAAACATTTTATTTCCATTTTTTTCATTTTTTTCTTACTTTTTTCCTTTCCCTTATTGCCTTTCCTACGTCTTTTATTACCATGACATCCATTTAACCTTCCAGTGTTGTCTACTACTGTCTAGGACTTGAACAGTTCTTAACTTATTTTTATAGGTTTAAAAATATATATATATATATATATATATATACACATACTGTATCAAACTCGGGACCTTGTGCTTGCAAGACAGGCAGCAGAACCACTTAGCTAAATTCCTGGCCCTTAACTTACTTTTATAAGACAAAATATCTATAGTAGCACTAATTTTAAAAACATTCCAGTAGCTGCATGATAATGCCATTATTAACTGGCTCAGGATAGAAATGATTGTGATTAGTAAAAGACTAAACATTTTCACTCTGCCATATTTGGTGTTGTGCCCCTAGGCTGGTAGAGCTCCATAACTTCTCCACACCTAACACACCTTGACATCTTGGAGTGAGACCCAGGCCTGGCCGTTGTAAAGTGACTGTTATCCACTCCACCACATTCTAGGCTTTGCGGCAGGACACCTGGGACCCACTTTTCCACTGTGAAGCTGTTATGTTCCCTGTGTTTCATCCAGCTCTTGACTTGTGGGTGACTATCCACAGAGTGAATGAGTGGGTACTCATTTTTAGAACCAGGGAGCAATGTCAATCTGTCTGCCTCTCTCCCCATTTCTGTCCAAACTAAAATAAGCATTGACTACAGTAAACAAAAAGAACATCGACCTAGCTCCTCCCCTGATCCTTCTTGCTCTTCGGTGTTGCAGGACTCCTTGGCCCTGCCAAGAGGGATGCCTGGCTGCAGCTGAGGGCAGAGATTGAAGGCCTGACAGATTCCTGGCTCACAAATGCACTTAAGTCTTTATCGATTATTAGTACTAGGTAAGTGGGATTATTGCCCTTTCTACAGTAAGTACATGGAACACATAGATCTAATACAAGATAAATAAAAATATTTTAATTCTCAGGCAATTAAGATTTGAAGAGAGTGATTCACTAAGTCCATTTACTTTTAATGTGCGTGTGTGTGTGTGTGTGTGTTGTGTATTTTGGGGTTGCTGCTTCTCAGAATAGCCAGGAGATTGTATCTTCCCACCCATCTCTCTTCTTAACTACTATTAATCCCCATAGAAAAGCCACATGACTTCTAATGGAAAAGGAAACAGCACCATACTGGCAACAAAATACAGGGATGATAGAAAAAAATAAAACAGGATGTTTGTTTTATAAAAAGAATCTTTATTTTAGGCCTTTCAGACCATAACAGATAAAATATGTAATTTAAGGGCATCAGAAAAGCAAGAACAAAATCTTGAGAAATTTCTAAATTTTGTATTATTTGAACTATACAGTAAAATACTATTTGGTGATATAAAAAATGAAATAAAGTGGACTTACAAGTTGTTAAAAAAAAAAAACTGTGCCATGAATGCTAATTCACAAAGTAATATAAACCTGGAAAGTGATAGCTAATGTGTGGATTGATCTTTGTACTTTCCTATTCCATCCTTATATTTCTGAATTAGAAGAATAAATAAAGCCATGCTTAGGAAATGAATAACACAGCAATGCTGAAAAAGAGATATTATTTGTACTAAGTGAGTCAGGACCCATAGAAAGCTTGGCAGAGTAAAAAGAGAACCCAGTGTGGAGAGCATGAAAATAAATAGGTATGCGTCAAATCTGGCTTGTGGCTTCCAACCCTGTGATGTGATCATGGACAACACAGATTATAGAAAGCCCAAATGGCAGGGAGGCTGATGAGCAGAATGCAGGGTTCAAGTGGGGAAGCCATGGCAGGGCCCTCTGCCCAGTTCTAGATGGGAGCTGTGACAGAATTGAAGCCTCCTGTATCTGGTGGGAGAGGCACGAGGATTTTGGGCATAGGAACCACATCATGGAAACAAGTTGGTGGAGCCAGAAAGTTTAGTCTAAAGAAGAATCATATATGAAACAAGTCATTAGTTTCTGCTGTTACAGATGCTAGACTAAAAATGAAGCCTGTGCGTCTGTCTGTCTATAAAGGAGAGAATTAGGATAAATGCAGAGGAATCCTAGGAAGGGATGTTCTAATGCCATGTAAGGAATTGTCTAACAAATAAAACTGTTTGAAAATGAACCTAATGCCTCATAATGTTTTTATCTAGTGACATGGAGGCCAAAGTGAAAAAAAACTGAGACAAGATCCTGGGCCCCGAAAATTGTGTGTAGCATGTCATAGAATGTGCATTTCTCTGAGGAGGAGGTTAACACCTTTCATTATTTTGCCAAAGAGGTTTCTTTGTAGTAAAAGAAAGAAACAGAGATTATTATATTATTATGTATAGGAAATATTACAGGTGACCTTGGAGAAACTATAGGGACATGTGATTTTAAGAACTAAAGTCATAAAAGAAAGGGACAGTGTAAAAGAAGTTAATATATGTTGAATAGTGAAATACTATGAAATTTGCTAAGTTATCCACATATATTATCATATTGGTAGTTTTCAAAAATGGGGGGCAGATCTACAAAATAAACACTTTGTTGAATTATGCATCAGAGGCTTTAAGGAAGTTGTTTGCCTGTAATGCTAATTCTACTACTGTGAATTGTACTAAGGGCATGCTCCAGGGTACAAAAAAAAAAAAATGGAGTAGCAACATTTATAATATTGAGTTAACAAAAGCCATCTAAGCATCTAAACTGAGCTTTAAAAATATGGTTCATCCACCTATCAAAGGGATGTGTACACATTTTATTTGAAGATGAAGAATTACTCATGATAGACAAAAATGAAAGAAAAGGAAGGAAGGAAAAAGGGAGGAGAGGAAGGAAGGAAGGCCAAGAGACAGAGAAATAGAGAAAAAACAAAAATCCATATGTAATATGATCCCAATGGGAAAATCCGTACATGAACAGAAATACTGACTATAAATGAACAAATGCTCACTTATCTCTGAATATCTAATAAATGATCGATACTTTTCATTTTCTTTTGTATATTTGCCTCTCTTTTGCAATTTTTGTTATATACAATGTTCATAATTTTAATAAATAAATGATACAACTCCAAATGTCACATAGTGTAGTCAAATTTCATTTCAAAACCACTCATTTATTCAAACATGTTTTCATTCTATAATATTTATCTACACATGACAAATACCATTTTGTTTTGACAAAAATACTACAGCAGATTAGTAAGAATAATGTACAAAAGAAGATACTGTGACAAAGTTAAAAATACTATCTTCACATGACCATAGAGTTCCAGATGGATTCAAGTAGCATATATAACCTTGTCACAGTATCATAATAATTTTCCTTTATTTGGGGAATGTCTGTCTGTTGATACAGCGCAAGGGTGGATGAGGCCATTTCTTATGAAATTTAGAGACAACAAATTGTTTATAACTGGAAAACAGTTTTAAATTTTGTGCCGTTAGAAGTTACGTCATGCTGGAAAACACACACATGTGTATATTGTATATATTTGCTCTCTATTTCAGGAGTAACTGTGTAAATGTCTTGGTAACAACAACCCAACTGATCCCAGCACTGGCCAAGGTTCTCCTCTATAGCTTAGGAGGTGCTTTCCCCATTGAAAATATTTACAGTGCAACTAAAATAGGTAAGGAAAGTATTTTACAGTCTGCATGTAATATACTCACTTGTGTTTGGGGAATTTTCTTAATGTATGCTTCTGCTTGGTTCCTTTTTCATTGAGATTTTGCAGAACTTCAAGCAAAATGGGATAAAGTTCAAATCACAGAACCCTCTGCAACTCGTTGTGCATGTGCAAAATTTCTGAGGACTGTTGGCCAGTGGAATTCTAACTGAGCCTCTGGGTAGTTCTGACTCAGTCCATAAGTCCAGCACATGTTACCTAAGTAACATTCAGTCTTGCTAGAAATGATATTTAATAATTTAATTGGCGTAGTACTTCATGCTTCATATGAATTAATCTCTAAGATACTTTAAATGATCTTAGCCAAAAGGCTGAGAAGCAATGAAGTTATCTTTAACATAAAAATACAATTTTGGCATTACCAAGGAGTCACAGATGGATTCAAATAGCATTCATAAAAGATAAAACTTTTCTTGAATCAGTAAACATAACTGAAATATTAATAAAACACAAGTGGCTGGACTGTGCATTTCCAAAAAAATGTTTAGTAGCAACCAAAGAACTATGCTCTTGCTTATTTATTTAGATAATTATCTTTTACTTTATGTGGATTTTGCATACGTGGACTTCTAATAAACACTCAAAAACAAAACTGCATCAGGCTCTTCCATCTTGAAAGAGTTAAAGAAAACAGCACATGTATTCCACTGTCTGTCAAGGAAATTCCTGGGAAAATTAATGGGTTGTGTAATGTGCCCTGAAGGTCAACAAACTTAGGCTTTGGCACCTTGACAAGAGAAGTTCAAAATCCTAAAATCTCTCACCAAAAATAGCCTGCCCCGGGCCTTGTGGAAGGCTGATATTGGCACCAGCAAAAGGAGCCCGCTGTTGCAGCTGTTTCTGCAGGACAGTTAAAGATAACCAAACTTTATAAAGTAAATGCCACATTGTTCTATGTACTATAGTTCAGAACCTAGACACTGATCTCATACTTTTTTTATATAAATGTGTACTTGTGGGATAGTAGGATTCATATTTACAATGTGATTTTTGCCTTTTGACAATTACAGTAATTTTATTAAAGGATACTCATTTCTTTTGTTTGAAGACAATATTTTTTAATATTAGCCAAATTGTTTCTTATATCTACTCAGAAAAGATCATTTTTCCTTCTAATGTATTTTTTGGAGATATGAACCCAAAAGTAACCGTGGCTGCATAGATATTCTGGAAATGAAGCTCAGAAAATAATGCCTTAATTTTAAAAACAAAGAACATGTAGGATCTCCATGACAGTGTTCTCTTGTACAATCAGTATACGCCAATGTTTTCAGTGCTGTGGCCCAATTGGGAGACACCTTTGGTGTAATTAATTAAGCTGAAAATATTATTCCCTTCCCCCTGAAGAAAGGATTTGCTTATCTGGGTCAAACCACATCTTAGTGTGTATTTCATTTCCTTAGAAGTGAAACTTCAGTTTTTCATAATAATATATTCAGCTGACTTTGTCTCCACTATTTAAGGTAAATGAAACAAAATTAATAGGATTAAACAAACACATGTTGTTAAAACTTATAATTGTTTATGAATTTTCTTCAACATTCTTTTACTAGAGTAAAACGTACTAACAATTTCTGGAAGTCAGATGCTTAACGCTATTGATGTAATTAAAGCCCGAAACATATTTGCTTCATCTCTGCCCTCGGTAAACACTTAACGTTATTCAAATGTGTACGTCGAGTTCGTAAACCCAGAGGGAGGTCAAAAGCTACTTGGAGATGTTTAAGAGACGTGAACTTAACACGTTGTGGATCTTTAGGTTAACGGATGCGTTGGCTGGGAGAATAAGCAGTGCGTTGTTTTTCAGGCAAGGAAAGCTGTTTTGAGCGTATAGTGTCCAGATTTGGCACTAACATAACTTACGTTGTGATTGGAGATGGCCGAGATGAGGAGCATGCCGCTAACCAGGTAACTTCACTCTGAACTTTATCTCATTTATCTTCCAGGAAAAGAAAGTTGCTTTGAACGAATAATGCAAAGGTTTGGCAGAAAAGTAGTATATGTTGTAATTGGGGATGGTGTAGAAGAAGAACAGGCAGCAAAAAAGGTAACCTGTCTCGAAGCAATGTTGGTGTGATATTCCTCATGCAAGCCTTCGTGTTTGCATTCTTGTAGTTTGGCCCAATTGCAGCTTGACAAATGATTTAAATTTATGGGTGCAAAGCCGTAAGAGCATGAGAGGGTCGATCCTTACATTCAAACCAACCATTTGGAGTCTAGCATTTTTGGCCTGAAATTTGACAGGAAAAGCAGGGGGAAAAATTGTTATATTTACTGGTGCGTATAAAGTAAATAAATAACAAACAGAGATTATTGTACATATATACACAGCACACATGAAATGTGGATACCTATGTGTGCATACATTCAGAGAATGCGGACAGTGGCTACTCAGTGGTCTGTAAGAAAAGTGGAGGTAAAGCTAGTCTTAAGCACATGAAATGTAACAAGATAAAGACATTTAGTGAGCTCGTGGAAAAGCCCTGTGAGTGGCTTGTGACTCTACCATGCTGCGTGGTCCTTGTGATTGCCTAGAAGTAGGTATGTTGCATGATGATTAATGCTGTGGGGAGACTGAAGAGCTGAAGAAAAATAGTTAAAAGAGATTTTAATAAACACTGTTGGAATTGGATGTATTGTTCAACTTGTTGTGCCAACTTGTTGTAAATATTTAGTGGCAGTGTCTCGCATCGTCTGTAAGATTCTCCCGTGTTTCTGTGAGTCATTGGTACTTCGCTGAGGCCAAGCAGCTGGAGCTGATGATATTCAGGCCACCTCATAGGCCCTAGGTATTTACATAAGTTTTTCCATCTGGTCCATTTTTCTGAAGAAGAAACCAAGACAGCTAAAAACCATTAAGTGGTTAGTTTAGCAGTAGTAGAGGAACACTAGCAGAATTGCCCCTCCCTGCCACACATTGCAAGACCATCAAACAACACAGCTCAGCTTTGCAGCTTCTTTCCCTGAGTGATAATAAAATATTGTCCAGCCAAGATAAAAGTGATAGAATTTATAAAGCAAAGCAAATGATGATTTAATATTTTCAAGCAATGACAAATCACCTTACATTGTTTCTCATAGGAAACATGTCATCCTTAGTATTCTGAAGGAATTTAAATCATCTAAAGGCTTCACCAAACATGTATATGTACTGGAGTTTTTATTATCTAAGTTATGTTTCATAAAAATGTCAGCATAGTTTTGTAGAAAAGTTTACAGCTATAATATAAAGAGAAAGGAAATGATTTATGTTTCTGGTAAATTCAGCTCAAACAAAATGGAGGGAGAGAAAGCATTTCCACTGTAGGAAGTTTGAAGATATTGCTGGCAGTCATACTTGAAACTCCCCATATTTTCCACCCAATTAGGAGACCTGGTAACACAGAAAACCCTGTGTTAATTAGCAGTGTCAGTTACTCAAAACAGCACATTGGCCCCAAGGACGTTCTGAATGAGGTCCGGGCTACAGGCTAGAGAAAGCCAACCTGCATTCCTGACTTCTGCTGGAAATGCTTGCAGTCATGCACAGTGGAAATCTCCTCTGCAGTTTGCCAGTGTCCTGAGTCCATGATGTTTTGATTTTTTTTTTGGTATGGGCACCATAACTACACACAACAAATAGCAGTTTTTCCATTACAACCACTCCTGCAAACACTGACATGGGTTTTAGCCCATGAAAAATTCATATATATTTAGGTCAGGATTCCTAAATCTTACTTCTCTGACAATAGCATGTGCCTCTGAAAAATGAAAACTTTCACACGTACACTAGTCATCCATAGCAGGAAAGCTAAACTATTGCTATATCTTCTGCTTTACACCTAACACTTCAGGAGAAAAAGGCTGACTCCAAATGGATAAAAATCTTGGATAGAATGCCATTTTTCAAATGGTCATCTATGTAGGTACAGTTTTGGTGATGGTGAAGGTTTATAACTCTATTTGGAACTTCAGGTGGTTGGTTTCCCTAGTGTCTAGAATGCATGCTTTTCTTTGGACATAGCAGTAATTGCATGTGTAGAAATACTGTATACTGTTTTGTTATCACAAATAGATCTGAGCTGAATGCAAAAAAAAAAGAGGTGCTTTTCTATAAATTTCCATGCTGTGCTTTAATTTGACCCACTTTTATAAATTTAAGAATAAATATCAAAATTTAGAAATCAGAATGTATAACTGTATACTCCTATGGAAATATGGAATGTGAGATGTATACGTAATTTTAAAAATTTTTCTAGAAGTCAAGTTAAATAAAAGTAATGAGAGACAGATAGGATTAATTTAATAATTATTCTAATTTGTCCCTGTAGCCAAACTATTACATCTCAATACCTGATTAATATAAATTTATTGCTGTGATGGCTATATTCTTTGGCTGTTACTCTTTTAAGTTTTTTGAAATTCAGACTGTTTTATATACTAGATTAAACATATTTCAAGTGCTCATTAGCCACATGTGACTAGGGGCTAACATATTGACTTATAGAGCAGCAGTAATCTTTATGAGGATGATTAACTTTTAAGTCAAATGTCTTATTCAGTATATAAATTTCCATTATATATATGAAAATATTCCATATGTATATATTGTAGCAGGTTTTGTATAAGTACAAACTTACAGAGAGCACATTTGTCTTGTCAGTTTCCACAGTGTAGATTTTTCTTTTTTATTGTCATTTCCAATGGGGTCTTTTTAGATAGTTTTTTTCTCATCACCCCGTCTATGAAACTTTAATGCCATAAAAATATACTGGATGTCAGTCTAGCTCTAGAGATCCACAGGCCATTGCAGTGTCTAAGGTTTTTGTTTTTTACCACCCAAGAGCCCAGTTTCATCTGATGGGGGATGATTTCTCTCCCACTGAAAATGCTCTCCGGAGTGCTCTCTCTAAATCCTACACCAGGGAAATAAGTCAGCTCAACCCTACTGGCTTAAATTGTTGGTTATAGCAGACAATGAAGAAAGTCATTCACATAGTTTTTTTCCTCCTTGACACAGTACAGCTTCAAGGTCCTTTTTACATAGGAAATAATTCACTCTTCCCTTCTCTCAAAGACAAAAAGCCTTGGGCTTAGGGCATTTTTAGTTTTGCTTGTAACTGAAAGATGGAACAAGGTGATGTTGAAAACTTGCTTTCCATCAGCCACATAGGGTTTTCCTCCTTGCTGGCTTTCCCAGATGCTGATGTTAGTAATGAGTTTTGTACACAGTAGATTGAACTGCCTATGAAATTGTAGTATTTGCTTTTATATCATTAAAATCCAGTTCAGATCTATTTCTCTGTGATTGTAACCACGCCACATTGGTGCTGCCGAACCTTCAAATAGGATCCTCCCTCCCTTAAATTCTCCCCTGAACCTGGGTGGACAGAGCATCTTGTGTGTGCTGCTGCTTCATGAGATGATGGCTATGATCTCTCTCCACCCTTCATTCCTGCCCTCTCTCTCTCCCGCCCCTCCCTCTCTGTTAACCACACAGCACAACATGCCCTTTTGGAGGATATCGAGTCACTCGGACCTCTTGGCTCTTCATCAAGCACTGGAATTAGAGTATTTGTAACTGTGTTCTCTAGCTGGAGATCCATGTTTTTTATATTTCAAGTACACTGAATTTTTATGTGTGATTCAATGCCTCTGGCTCTACACATATAAATTGTCTTAAAGGATGAAATCGTATTCGGGATGAGAATTCCAGAATGAAGAATTCAGATTGCTGAATGGAATTAAACTTTAGTGCTACAGAAAGGAAACTCTATGGTCTTACATTTGCAACATGTTAATGTTTTTTTTAAAAAAAAAAATCTGTGGAAGTTGCTGATGCACAAGGAATGAGTCCTAACTGGAACGAACAGCTTTAGCAAAGAACGCTTAACCCTCCCAAGCAGCAGCACCTGAGCTCCATGTGACAAGGTGATCAACAACATTCCTCAAAATGGGAGTTCTCTCAGCCCTGAGGTTTGAATCTGACTTTAGCCTACCTAGCCCAGAAAATCTGAATTGGAATGCACTCAGACTGTATAAGGACAGTCCTATCTAGACCTGTAATTTGTGTAAATTATCTATGAAAATAATTTACTGTGACTCTGTTAGCAGCTGACTTTGAAAGTGGATGCAATTTTTCTTTCATTTGTCCGGGAGGGGAAGGGAGGGGAAACGGGAATATAATATTGTCTCTTCTTTAAGTTTGGCAGACAGAATGTTCATATTGATGTGTTGTGCCTTAAAGACAAGACAGCATTTGTGTGTTACAATGTAACTTTGGTTTAAAAAAAAGTCTCTGTAGATAATGAAAAACTAAATCCTTTGTACTAATTATTAATATGACCAAATTTAAAATTTAAGCTATCAAAGTGTACTACTACATCAACAAGAAACCAAGTATTTGTTGCAAAAAGAAGCCAGTAGTAATAAGGGAAAGCCTGTATTTTGCTTGGGTTCTTAATAATTCCAATATTGTGTGAGGCAATTATCTGTGCATCCAACCATAAGGAGAAAGTTTAGGAGAGACGTGGGACCTTACATAGAAAGTAAAATGTGTGTTGAACTCTCAAGTATCTTTTCTTCCTGACGAAAGCTAAGGGCCATATTCATGACAACTTGCACAATTTTGAGTTTGAGACTTTTGGTCCATGTGAATTCTGTAGAGAAATGAAAATTATTGCCTGTTATCAACCAAATGAGTTTAGAATATGCTGTGGACATAAAATCCACATTGAGTAAATATGACTTAAGTACAACTAAGTACACTTATTCCCAGAGTCACTTGAGAAAATGAATTGTCATCAGTCATGAAAGGTGGATGCACCAGATGGCTTTGAAGAAGTGAAGCGAGTATGAAAATTTCACCTAGAATATTATCGTAGAGCTAAATTAGCAAGTGAGCCACATCTTGGCAGCTTTACCCAATTACAACAGTGAAATAGTACTGGTTCTGTCTTAACACATCAATCCAAGGTCTTTGCATTGCAGTCTTGGGTGTGCTGGTTTTTGCCTGCTCTGTTCCTAAACAGTGACTGCATTCATTGCAGTGAGGACCTATCATTGTTGCATTTGCATGTTTTTTTTCTTGGTGTGTACCCCTTGTTGGCAACACGATTCAGGTTCTCCCGTCATTTTCTATGACATGATGTCCCTTGTAGAAATTTAAGACTTTCAGATCTAAAGTGTTCTGGTGGTGTCAGCACCTGCAGCTGTGTATTTAAAATGGCAAGGATACAGAGTTGTAACTGATTCTCAGTAGTTTGTGCACTAAAATCTTTAATATTTATTACTGCTATTAAAAATTATTTTTGGCTGTATAACCAGTTTCCTTCAAAGACAGAATTATTACGCTATATCTAAATTTTTGGATTCAGTTTTTGTATCAAGTAAGCAAGCCCTCTTATGTTGCTAAAGGTGCGGGTACAGAAAGAAACACCAAGAAGCTATCTGATCGTATCTCCCAGTGCTTCTTAACACACACACGCACACACACACACACACACACACACACACACACCCCTTTCTTTCTGGTTATATGTGCAGAAAGCCTGAATGTGACATTGGCACAGAACAGCTTGGGAGATGCCAAGCCACAGGCATGGCCTGGTCATGTGACTTTTAAGCACGCTGAAAGTAGAACTCGTCCCTCCCTGTCTTAGAAGCAGAAAGTCCTCTTCCTTTCTGGTCAGAAAACAAGACAAATCAATAAATAACCTAGCTCTTTGCCAGTTCTATTTACTTGTGGAATATTGTGCCTTATTGTGAACTAGTTTGAAAAGTCTTCTGTATCTAGAAAGGATTTTTGGCTTAAATTTACCAAGATGATCTGTCACTAGGGAAGATAACCACCTGTGTTGCACCTTAAAAAAAAAATCAAGGCTGTGTAATCAGTAATAACATAGGTGGCCTGGCTGTGACATTATAGCTTATGACAATGACACTATATCCCTGAAAATGTATAAATCAGATTCAGAGACAAAAATATTTTAGAATCGTACAGTTTATTTGCAAAGAAATAGGAACAACTGTCTCTAAAAATGCTTTTTTCTTTAGTCTCTGATGGGCTAAGGTTCAAAATAATGACAGCAGCATGCTCCACTATGAAGTTGTTTTTGTAAAGCACATTTGTCTGTGACCTGCCTGCGTTTTCCATGAATATGGCACCTGGTATTTCTTTTTAAACAGACATAAGCATCATTGAGCCAAAGTTGCATTTTGACTCCCAACTATGGCAGAATTGTGGAAATCTCGCAGTCCAAGTCAAGGGATTCTGTTATGTATTAGCAAAGTATGGATTATTGGGGCCTCCCTAATTTAAAGAAATGTAAATTAATATTAAAAGCTTGTAAAAATATGTACATCTTTACTATTTCTCAATAAATACCTTTGCAAATGTTTTCATTTTCTTCCACCCTCCCATTTTGTAAAGTCTTTTTGTGTATATTTAGTATGAGTCTAAATCATATGCATTTTTTATTTGTGTCTCTTGATGTATATAGTTGCTCTTGCTTATGCCTAAGTTGCACAATTTGTGATTAAGGCAACTGAGATATAACAGTAAAATGTCTCTGACACCTTAAAGTGGCTGGTTTACTAAGAAGAGAGGGGTTGTATAGATTTTTACAAATAGATGGCTTTGTTCAAGTAGAAAACATATTGTATCCTCAGTTCATTAAAGTGATCCCTGTAGGTGAGTGGACTGTTATAAGTTCTGGATTATAGTTTCCAAGAATCTTTTGAGAGAATAAAGGAGTATTTTTCTGAAATAGACAGCAGCTCCTTTATCATCTTGTGTATAGTATTGATTTTCTTTGTAAATATGTTGTTCACATGGAAATCAGAGGCAAATGTCAGAGCAACTTCTGCTCATTTGGAACTTTTAAAAATTTATCCTCCAAATTAGCAAAATCTGAGTGGAATGGTGTGAGAACATTCTGATGAGCAATGATCCTTATGCCCTACCTATCAAAAGCAACTGGGGTTGACGGGAATTCAAGAAATATACTTAAAGTGGATTGACTGTGTAAACTTTCTTTATATCCTCTTGCATCTGTTAACCTTTGAGATTTGAGTCAGTGGGGAAAATTAAATTCTGCGTATAGCATTCCACTTCTCCCTGTGCCTGTTTCTTCATCTGCTTGGAAGAAAGGCTCTCTCCAAGCACCAAGTCCAACCCTGGGCTTGTGTTTCTGTTCAGTCACAGTTCGTGTCTCTCACAATAATCACTCAGGCTGACACTGTCATCGTGTCCCACCTGGATCACTGCACAAGCCTCTAGACGGATTTCCTGCTTTGCCTCATACATCCCGTGAGTCAGTATATCTCCTCACGGTAGCCAGGGTGGCCTGAGATCCTGTTGACCCTCATCCCAGAGCCATCTCAAGTCAGACTGAAATGGAACTGGATCAGAGTCAGTCTTGGAGTGTACTGTGGTCAGCAAGGCTGCTCCTCAGAATATCACAGGTCCATGTTCACTGTGCCCAAGACCCAACTTTCAGTGAAAATAGTAGTCATGACCAGTTTGAGTTCTCTCAGCGCTCTCTCAGGACCACATTATCACACATGTTGAAAAATGACCCAGCAAAATATGCTAAGGAATCACTGACAATCAGATCACTCTGTACAAGCCAGATAGTTTCATTCCTAACAAATGTTTTCTATTGGGCTTTCCAACACTGTATCTGTGGCGAAATTATCTTTTGTTGTGACATCTTACGCTTTTGTGTACGGCAGCTGCTAATAAGAAATCATCAGAATTCGCATCTGAGCCTTCAGTGAAAAACTTGTGTATGGATCAGGAGGAAACACCTAGTAAATCTCTCTCTGCAGCAGCACCACAGAGAGGGAGGGAGTTCAGTAGAATCACAGGTACATGGCGAATTGCTTGTGGAGGCACCAAACCAGCTTTTACAAGGGTGAGTCCTGGAGAAATTGATTCCCAAGTTGCAACTCAAAGGACAAAAGGAGAAAGGCCAAAGGAGAAGGAACAGGACTGGTAGTATCCACACAAGATAGAAAATATAGGGAGGGGTGGTGTAGTTAAGGAATTTCAAGCAATTCTGGCTTATGGAGCATTCCAGTGAATACAGAATAGTAAGAAGTGAGTACAAAAAATAAATGAGACCAGATCATGAGGATCTTTAATACTATATTGATGAATTTTGATTTTATCCTGTGACCAGTAGGTGTTAAATGAGAGGATTATAAAGCAGAGGGTTTATGTGTCCAGATTTGTGCTTTATACTAGTTACTCTGGCCACACTGTGAGAGTGAGGGATCTGAGAGGCTGGCACAGAGTTATGGATAGATTCCTGTGGCGATGGTCACAAATGGGGAAAGAAGCGCACAGTTTTAAAGAAACTAATGTGCTCACGATAATCAGGAATTAGCAGCTCTCACTGCTCCTCTTCGTGTCCTCACGCAAACCCAACCTGACTTCCGGATTTTTCGGCATGGGCAGTCTGGTAGACAGTAGTACAGTTGTCAAGAGATCGAAAACACGAAAGAAGAGATTCTGGGTTGCTGTTTTATTGTGGTTGCTAGACTTACTGTTGAAGAAGGACATTGACTCCTGTATTTTAAAATGTTAATTTGACTTAGTACAGTTAATTGTCTTACATGTAGTACATGTTCTTCAGCCTAATAATTTTGTTTTCACTCTCTCTACATATGATAATTAACGTTATAAAATCTTATAAATAAATGAATCTGATGCTGGAAAAATAAAAAGGGTGTGGAGGGAGGGTGGAAAAAAGGGAACTAAAATGTGTTATATATCTATCTGTACCACCCCCTACCATGAACATAATCGTTATGTGCTGCGAACATGTACTACTGAAAGTAAAAACAATTTTAAAATGTAAAAATTAAAATTACAGTGTCATTTGGAATGAATTGGGCCAAAAAGTAGAATCAGCCAGTAGGAAGCTGGATTTGCAGCAACTTGGTAGTTTTCTTGTTCAATACCTAGCCAGAACACAACTGAGTTACTCTGATAACAGCAAGTAAAATCCTAAATAATTTCATCAAATCATATGTGTTAGTCATTTAGAAAGCATTTACCATTTATATGAACTTGAATGGCACGAGGTTGTGATTAAAATATACAGTAAATGTTTAAATTTTTAGAATTACAGTAAAAGACGCACAGCCACTAATTCCTCTCAGAATGTTACCTCTATCTTGGAACATTCCCATTTTTCCTGCCACTTTCTGAAGCACTTCTGGAAGTCCTCTTTCCTGAGTGTCTTTAGTGGTTATTATGACTGCCTGGGTCAATTCAAAACATTTACTTTTCACGGTCATTTTGGCTATGGGAAGAGCCAGTAGTAGCATGATGCCAGATCCAATGGATAAGATGGATGACAACACACCGTAATGTTACGATTTGTCAGAAATGGTGGTAAATGCTTAATCAATAAGAAGATCAGCAATTAGATGAATGCTTACAGCTTTAAAAGTTTTGCAGTGCCATTAATCTCCCAGAAAATATTCAAAGTACTTCCCCTCACTTTGAACACTACCCTGTAGTTCTTGGCAATGTGTTTTTTACTATAATAAGTGGTTTTATTAATCATTTACTATAATAAGTGTTTTTATAATTTTGATCACCCCTTGCAGAATGTATATGTAAGAACACCATCGAAAACCATTTGGGGTTCCCAACTGATTTAACATTGTGCTTTTTTTCATCCTCTGGCTCATTCTAATTTACAGTAAAAATAAACTAGTGATCTAGATTTACAAGCCTGAAGAAATGTAAATGCCTCTTTGAAGTAAGTATGAAGTAGTTTATATCTTCTAGGAGACAAATACAAACACTCTTCATTCAAGCTCCAAAACAGAATGATGATGACTTAGTCATTTATTCTTAGACAGATTAATGTATTTAAAAAACATGGTGATCATTAGTGTTACCATGAAATGCTATCTGGAATAAATTATTCTCAGGCTAGATGGCAATCTCTAGTTTGAGAACAGGAAAATTGATGACAAAAACACCTATAAAAGCATTCTCTGGCTTCATGTAATTATTTCTGCAGTAGTTATGGGAACAACAGGGGTGGGGTCAGAGAGAGATTGGAGGGGACTCTAAGAAAAACTGGTATAATTTCTTTTTTTTTTGTCCTCATTGAGTTTATTGATACATTTCAGGTATACAGTACAGTTACATTCATTATTGGAATCTTGTACCTTTACATGACAGTTTTTGGTTCTCATTCTTTCCCCTTGTCCCTGCCCTCCCTTCGCCCCCTCCTCCCCTCCCCATTTACAAACACTTTATTTCCATTTTTTCATTTTCTTATATTTTTTTCTTTTCCCTTATTACCTTTCCCCTACCCTTCCCACTTAAAACTGGTATAATTTCATTTCAAAGCTTTAAAGATTTACAAGTGAGAAATGTAGTTTCCAAGTTTTGAGCATCCACTGATTTTCCAAATAAAATCTACCACAGGTTTTGGGCAATGTAGTTCTTCAGTGAACTAGTTTTAAAGAAGAGAAGAGGGATGTGTATGGAGGTACGTGCTGGTGATCCCAGCATGCTGGGAGGCTGAGATGGGAAAATCATAAATCTAAGCCTAGCCTGGTTGACTTAGTAACTTAGCAAAACCATGTGATGTAGCTCATTGTGAAGCTCTTGGGTTCCACCCCCAGTCCCAAATGGCGGGGGAGGATCCTTGCTTCTGTCTAGGTGGAGCAGATACATTTATCTTTGCACTGTCTTTTATATACTTGAAGCCCTTGCTGTTGTTTTATCCATTCACTTGATGTTCACAGGACAGAGAGGCAGAGAGTGATGGTATCACTGTGACAAAGGGAGCACATACGATGTAGTCAGGCTTTGATTTCATCACTAGCTTTGGAACCGGCTCCAGAGCAAGCAGGCTGATGGGAGGAAGAAGAAGAAAACTAAAATTTGAAGAGACTAATAGAAATAAAGGAGCTTATCTTATTTGACCACTTTTTTCCTGGTACTGAATCCAGGACCTTCACACTGAGCTATATCCTCAGCACCACATCCCCTTTCTTTGTGAGACAGTCTCCATATATTGACTAGACTGGGATTCAACTTCCTGCCTCAGCCTTGCAACTGGCTAGGATTACAATGTACACCACGATGTCAGGCGTTGTTGCTTCATTTAGTTATTCCAGTTCTGACTTTGTAATATTATGTATTATTATTTGCATTGTATACTTTAACTGGCCCCCAAAGTCGCCTGATTTGTAGATGATACACAGTTGGAATTCAAGTCTTACCGGTGGATTTTACCTGGACTACAAAGTTGGCTCCTTGCACCTTGTCTGCTGTCCACTTACTGCACTTGCGTT